CTACACATAGTGCGCATTTGGCTTGCGCTGAACAGAGTTTCACCAAAATCGCAAAGACCCAATTCGAGAAATTCAGCGGTTTCAAAATTTAGGTCATAATTTGTGCGAAAATGATAAGCAAACTTTACACGGATTATATCTAATGAACTATGAGATTCATCTCTGTATTTTGGGCATCCTTATAACAGATGGGTCCTTGCAAGTCAGCAAAACGCTTTAGGGCCTTGTAAATGCGCGCGATTTCGAGCAAAGCAAACATGTAGAAATTATAGTTTTCGCTATTTGTTGACGTTTGTCGGCGTTTAAGAGTCAATCTCACGAAAAAAGCATTTTCTTAAAAATTCGTAGTTTTTTTTCCTTCAAATTTTTTCAGGGCCACAATTGATTAACTAACTACCCGGACTCTGAATTTCATGGTCGTTGAAAAACTGTGACATTATCTTCTATAAGCTCAAACTTGAGTAAACATTGAAGATTTTTAGCGTTTTGGCTGAGTTTGTGCTTTGGGAGTTGTCTATTGTTTCTAGTCTGTCATTATACAGCATTCTTGTTCAGCACGCGTGCAATGACCGCGCTCGGCTGACTTCCGAATGCTCACCGACATATTATAAATTTGGTACAGTGAGACAGGCCATCGCGTGATACATAGCAGTTTAACTAACAATTTTTAATCAATTCTCGTGCTTCTTGTGTCTTTGCAAAAAAATCAAGAAGTGCTACACACTAAGTCTACTTACTATTACAAAAATATCATTTTTTCATAGGTTTAATGCAAGCCAATAATTAAACCAACTCGTGACGGGAATATCTCGGTGAGCATTCGGAAGTCAGCCAAGCGCGGTCATTGCACGCGTGCTGAACAAGAATGCTGTATAATGACAGACTAGAAACAATAGACAACTCCCAAAGCATAAGCTCAGCCAAAACGCTAAAAATCTTCAATGGTTACTCAAGTTTGAGCTTATAGAAGATAATGTCACAGTTTTTCAACGACCATGAAATTCAGAGTCCGGGTAGTTAGTTAATCAATTGTGGCCCTGAAAAAATTTGAAGGAAAAAAAACCACGAATTTTTAAGAAAATGTTTTTTTCGTGAGAAGGACTCTCAAACGCTGACAAACGTCAACAAATAGCGAAAACTATAATTTCTATATGTTTGCTTTGCTCGAAATCGCGCATTTACAAGGCCCTAAAGCGTTTTGCTGACTTGCAAGGACCCATCTGTTATAACGATGCCCAAAACAAAGAGATCAATCTCTTGGTTTATTAGATATAGTACGTGTAAAGTTTGCTTATCATTTTCGCATAAATTATGACCTAAATTTGGAAACCGCTGAATTTCTCGAATTGGGTCTTTGCGATTTTGGTGAAACTCTGTTCAGCGCAAGGCACTAATGCGCACTATGTGTAGCCAAGAGATTTTCAGAAAAGAATGCCAGCAACAGCCGATTTTAGACTCAGACCTCAAAGGGGCGTGGCATTATAACCACGTGACATTTACTCCGATCGCCAAAAATTTTATGTTATATTGCAGATTGATCTATATGTTATCCATTCTATGTGTTAGACTTACGATAAACGTAAAGGTGGGGATACCAGAGAGCTTCAAAGTAGGATGGTACCCCCCCAAAAAAACTGGGTCGAGTCACCTTAATTTAGCTTAATTTTAGAAGCGCATTAAAATTCTGAGGTCTTTCTGGATCTAACAGTATGCATAAAACTAACATGTGAGGAGCAAATTCAAGTCTTAGCCCACCGAGCTACTCGGGAAAGAGAAAAAAAATGCCGAGCATAAGCAGTGTTTTTGTTACCTCTGCGTGCTGCGTCCCTGACACATAAAATCCCTAAAGACGTAAAATAATTCATGGCACGCGTCAAAGTTGTAGAAATATCCTGTTCGTTTAATTCACACTTCTGTGTCAGTTATTATGGCTGTTGTCTAACGATGTATATTTCTTTCAGCCTTTATTGTGCTTCAAATAGAAGGACTATATTTTAATTTCAGTATTCTGTAACACAGAGTTTTGGAGTCTGTCTTCAGATTTACTGTCTCGTTACGTAAAGGTCCAAACATTTTCAATTTCGGACTTGTTTTTTTTTAACTTGGACGCGCTGGTTCTGGACTGGGACTCATGATTTTTCAAAAGATGAGTGTTAGGGCTCACCATAACTATTTATAACAAAATCATTGGCATAAGGGTACTGAATTTTCGGCGATGGGATGCGACCACAGCTGCTTCGAATACGCATCCATCGAGTCGTTACTGCGAAGTTTATACACAACAAACCACCGCAAAGTGGCAATCTTTCATAACAGCCTTACCTTTAACTCCATCTTTATTTGAGTCCTCTCCAAGGGATCTGTATCCAAGAACTGTGACAGAGCCATCTGTTTTATCTGCTACACTTTCCGTCAATGGGTTACTGAAGCCCATTATAAAACCATTGTTTTGAACTGTGTTGTCTGCTTCATCTCTCATAGTGCGGTAACGACCGCGCATTGAAGCGAGCTGAAAATTAAAGAACATCTGGGTTACAAACCTGAACTAGTACCATGAGTTTCCTTTTTAACCATTTTGCTCCCAAAAGTGGCCATAGTCAAAATCCAACAACATTTACTCATTTCGTTTCGTGAAATGCTAGAAAACAAATAGCACCACTTCAAAGTACTGCAAAAAAGGTTTCATTCGAATGGTCACACCATATGATATCGTCCACAGACTGAAAAGTTATTAGAGACTCCTTAGGAGACTTCATCATTATCTATACTAGAATTATGAAGGTGACTCACTGATGTCCAAAATGCTTTTGAAGGACAAGAACAATGAAGAAAGAAAGACAAACAGGAAACCTCAAAGACAAGAAAAAAGATGATGCGAGCAAACCACAGTCAGTGGTTTTGGATCATTGTTTCCAAAATAAAATATATAAAGTAAAATTTAAGATAACGACGTCAGCGAAAACATGACTTGAAACATGACTTCAACCTCGCTAAATTTGTAATATTGGTCAATCTTAGGACTCAAGGTAAGGGTTTAAAAGAGGTTTCCATATATACCAACACTTTCGTTGGATGTTTAACTGGGACTAAATCCTGATGAGAATGCCCCTTCAGTGACCAAACCGAGGCCTGAAGGGTCGAGAAAAACTATTTTCAAGTTTGACCCCCGCCCCCTTTCCCTCTTCTCTAAGGGTCTGGCTGAGACGGTCAATAAAATTACTCGAGGGTCTCGATTAGCTACCACCCTTGAACCATTTTTGCAGTCAACAGGCCATTCTACAGTTGTGTACTTAGTGGCCTGGCCTTTAAATAGAAGCGAGGCTGAAGGTGGCCTTGTTCTGTTACAAACCTGTTCAAACATGTCCAAACCTGTTCATGGTCATGTTCCGAAAGGAATGGACCTTAAGCAATGATGACGACGACGGCAGTGAAAACGACGGTAAAAAAATGAATTTGCGTTCTTTCAAACTTAATCGCGTCTATCTGGATCCGCTCAGTATGTCAAATGCAGGCGACTTTTCCTGGAGTTGAATTCCTAAGGATTTTATACAGGCTCGAAAAGATGAAGGGAAATTCGTCGTAGTATGTCCACGTCCTCCATAAAGCGTCAAATTAGGAGGTTTCACGTCGTAGTCGTGCAGTAGACGTCAAAGAAATGTACTAAAAAGCGTGACGCACGTGCAGAGCTGTTGTTTTGATAATGAAACCTATTGTTTTTTTGAAGTCGTCGATGCGGTCGCCGTCGTGGTTGCTTAAGCTCCCCCGGAGATAACAGCCGACATTTCATGACGCCACCACTGGTTTCCCGGCGAAATGACGTCTGAGCAACGACTGCAGAAATTCCGTGATACTGACGACGTGTCACTACCAAGATCTGGTTTGTGCTTCTGGTAGAATCAAATTTCTCTTCCGACACGACCAATCAGAAACGCTACCCAGATCTGGGTAGCGACACGTCATCAGTATGGAATTTCTGCGGTCGTTGCTCAGTCGTCATTTCGGGGGGAAAGCAGTCGTGTTGTCACAAAATGTCGGCTGTTTTCTCAGTCGCAAGGTTTGTAACAAAACAAGGTCACCTTCAGCCTTGCTTCTATTCAAAGGCCTGGACACTGAGCACTAACTTTGAAATGAAATGTCCTACTAATTATACTCACGCTTAACTCTGAGTCGAATAAAACTTCGAACGAATCGTGCCAAAGTAAAGGATTAGAGAACAAAAAAACTACCACGTAAAGTCCTTATCTTTCAGAAGAGGTTTCGTCTTCGTTTTCGGAATAATCAAACTATCAGAATTCTTTGATAAACTCAGAACAATAACTCAAAGGTTAAAAACCATTAAATCATGAAAATAAAATTACGCCGACGAAAATTTTGCAATCTGCTGTCCACGATATCTGGCTTTTTCCCAAAATGAAAAAATGCACCTGACAAGTAATGTTTGTAATGATTGAAAGACTGTACAAGAACACGTTACGTGCATGATAGTGTCAAAGGTCACAAAATCAAACAAAAATAACATTAACGTACTACTTAAATTGCTTTTTAAATATCAATAGTAAAAGGTCTTTGAAAATACACTGTTTGACATCTCTTCGATTAGATACATAAGATCCATCTATTTCGTATACTCGAAATATTTAATCGTTTCTTTTTTGTAACAAAAACTTTTTAAGAAAAAATGAGTTACGGAAATTTTTTAGAAACACACCATAATAAGCATCCATGTTTTTCAAGGAAATATGCTCTCACGCTCAATTTCGCTTTTCAAAGCAGACAGAGAGGAAACGTGAATGTCAGTATTTAGACATAAAAACGCCACAACTTAAAGCCATACTCATCACTGTTAATTTAAGTGGTTCTTTTTTTGGTCCTTTTACCAAAGATAATCGCAGTGTTGGAGCACTACAGAACATGTGTGATTTGCAAATTTACAGCCGGCACAAGCGATGTTCTTTTTTTTTTAATTTAAAGACATTAAAGTCAACAATTTCGAAGACGTTTGTACGGGAGAAGGAAATACCTATTTCTCAATTATGCGACTGTATCACATTCAAAGTAGTTAGTCTTCGTTCCGACGATAAAGATGGACCTAAAAATTTAAGGACCTGTTTTGGAAGTGACTTCAACAAGTAAAGTCACCTACGGATTTGGTAACTGGAATGTTTTTGAATTTAAAACATAAAACAGCCATGAAAATGTGGAACTTATAAAAATATATAAAAAAAACAGAGCATCGGCTCGCACGATCTGTCACCTTTTACATCATAATAGTGAAGTTATTACGCTCTGTCGGCCTTTCCGTGATGAAAAGTGCATGTATAATTATCACGAAAAAAATCTTCTTATAGAATATAAAGCGTACAAGAAGAGGTTTTAAACGAACCTTATACATAACTCGCGCGATTCTTTGTATAGTGTATTGGCCTTTTTCATTCTACAACAGCGAAGGGTCTCTCGTAAGCTAACCTTACCACGATGATCAGTAAAAAGACCGAGACATAAACCTCGTTTTCTCTGGAATTTCATCTAGAAAGCGACGTAGATCTTGTCGACAACGAAAACCCATAACTCTGATAACTTGGCCACAAGCAGCACTTGTTTTCTTATCTGTTCAGTATATGAAGAACAATGATTCTTCCGGAAGCGTGAGCAACGAAACCAAAACAGCATTAGGGATGAAAAGGAACAAGCGAGTTGATCAGACCGATAGCGAAAGTTCCAAACAATAGCTTCATGCTGCTAGCTTCATACAATGCAAATTTATTGGCTACAGTTCAGTTAAAAAGTGACCAGGTCGTATTTGTTTTGTGATTTGCACCTTACGTGGTTTACATTCCAGGGCACAAAACAATGCACCCCTGGTAACTAAGGACCCTGTATATAAATCAACATAAAATTCTTCTTTTTCACTTCTCTTTTTTTTTTTTACAAATTTCCCACTCTTTTCAGAGGGTTTTGCTTGGGGTGTCTCAGCACTTCAGAACGTTTTCAATTGGCTCATCTAATCTAGGTCACCTTAGGTTAACACTAAAACAAATTTCGCGGGCAAACACTATGCACCGAAGTTTTTATAACGCGAGACAGTACAGGTTTAGTTGTTTGCAAACTACCTATAACATTAATAATAATAATAATAATAATAATAAAAAACTCTGAAAAAAAACACCTTCACACACTATTTCCGGCATTCTAAAAATACCAGTTGAAAGAAGTTGTCAAGATCAGATACGTGGCTTTTGCGCCTTTTCCAAAAGATAAATGTCAATTTATGTGTAATCAATCACATTAATTATTCTGGATCCGAGAGAGAACTCGATATTTTTCGGGGATTTAGACTGTCTGCGACGCAGGCTACTAAGGTCAGCCAACATTGCTTTTTTGCATTTAAAAGATAAGACTTCCAAAACTTCTAAGAAGATATACCGTACATGTAAATTTTCTGTCCATTTCCTCAATCACGATGCCCATTAGTTTCACTTTTGTCATTTTTATCACCTGACGTGATACAACTCACTTTTACTCTGAAGATGACTACCGCACAGGTTGCCGAAACGTCAGTGAGTCAAATTATCAACAGCAACGGTCCTATTCAGGACTACGTTCACCCGGACGATCATACTCAACCAACTTACATTGGTTAGTTACTTTAGGGTCAGTTATTTAAACGAAGTCTAACTTAGACGCGGTTTAGGGAATCTTAGGACCTGCAGATCTCTTCCCTGGTGGGTTAATTTCAAGAAGACAAAATGTTTTTCCAGTCTACAATGTGCGCTTTCATGAAACTGATCACGATAAACGGCGCAAAGTTCGGCAAACTGAAAATGGCTTAGAACGAGGTTTTGTTAAACACTGGCTAAACTCTGTTGAAATAACTGGCCCTTACAGTCCGAAAGTTTTTTAATAGGCACTACAGTTCTTATCTCGTCTGAACTCTGAAGGAATTTTTTGGGTCACACAAACAGACTGAATTTACATATTTCAGTTTTTATGAAGGGCATGTGGAAATTTGCTTTAATTCAATACTGAAGTGAACTTAAGAGTAATTAACAAATTAATATGCACCATCAATTATTCTTTTGTTCCTACTTGCTCTTCCAACCAATAAATAAAATTTATTAACATTTTTAGATTCTACTCCATCTGGGGTGATGATATTCTCTGCATATACCAGAAAAAAAGCTTAAAATATTGGGAATTTCCATGTGTACACAAAAATTAAATAGACTCAGAGTTTTGGGGGGTACTTAGAATTCAATGTAAGACTCTGCTAGCTTTTAAACTTCAGACTTCATTTGGACTAATTATTACCCTATCCCCCCTCCCTCCATCCCTCATCATGTAAAAGGAATACTTAAAGAAAATTCCTAGCTTAAAAAAAGGCTTTCTAGGGGGCAATAAGAGGCAGACTTGAAGCGAGCAGTAGCATCACTCCTTGCAGAAAAAGCAAGAAGCCGTAAATTTTTTGGAAGGAATAAACAAGAGGATTCTTTATTACTGTAT